TGCGCTGTAAAAGTGCAGCTGCTCAATATTCAAGGCAGGTGGTACACTGCCTGCGCCATGACTAAGTAGGCCTACTGAAAGGCTTGTCCGAATGAGTGGATCAGTACCTCAGTTGCTTCACAGTATAACTTTTAGCTCGACGTCATCGGCGGAACCTACAGCAGCATGGGAAAGCCAAAGGCTTGGGCTAACCCAGGGCGGCTTTTATGCGATAACTAGAATGATTGGAGACAATGACTGATTATCACCGGATTTCGGATAGCTGTCATTCAAAGATAGTAGCGATACGGGATCACTAGTGGCTGTTGAGCTTAGTGCATGGTAGTTGGGCCGTAGTATCTTCTCGTTTGAATATCCCCGTAGATTTAAAGCCTTTATTTCTTGTGGGGATGTTTTTGAAGAAATGCGATTTAAAGGTATGGAGCAGGCCTACAGCAACGTGGTTAAATTAAACTTGTGGGCGGGGGCGTAGTGTGCAAAGCTGCTGGAAAAGTAGTTTAGGCGGGTCATTGTAAGACGGGACCCGTGGTGATAAGGCCTGTTTGGATGCGAATAAAACGGGAAAGTCGTTTGAAACTAGGATGCAGCCTCTGGCGGCGGTTTTTTCAATTGACTGAATAATTAATTGGCATGGCCCCACACCATCCAAAAAATGGGAACAGGAAGCTATTAACAAATGCTTAGGACAGGTAGAAGAAACGTGACTGGCGCAAAAAGGAATTCAAACTGAGATGAACGTAGGCCAACCAATAAAAAACGGAGAATGTTTAAGCAACATCCAAAAAGGCGGGCAAATAGAATCAACAAGACTTATATCTCTAAATTTAATCACCCCCCCCATTCCCAACCGGGAACAATGTCTATAAATCCAACCTCCGACTTGCTTACTTATACCTGATTCAATTCCTGTTGGATGAATCGGCTTCAGGGATGTCAATGATGGCGGCGATCGGATGCGAGCTCCTTGCAGATGTTAACCCAGCACTTGTTTCAGTGTCGCAAACTGTAAACGGTTACGAGGCCCATGCGTCTGAAGCCTGACTTGACAGCGAGGAGCCACGTTTTCAGATAGGCATCATGTCAGTATCTTTAGTTCGCACTACGAGATGGATTTACAACCAACCTGCAGAGGCCCGCTGATGGCTTGCTCAGGAAATGACCAAACCATTGCAATCGGCGACGCTTTATGTACGATGCTAGACTTGGCAGCTCGAAACACCTGCGATATAATTAAGCATTGAAAACTCGATCTTGCCAGGAGACGCTTAAGATGCGTCGAAGACACCAACGGTCGAAGCCTTCGAGCGATAGAATGCCTGTGTTTCTGACTGGCCATGTTTTTCAAGCATATACTGACACCGGTTTGATGGATGCTCTTTATATCAACAGCTTACTACGTAAGTTGATGTCTGAGTGAGACCAGAGTGGTCTGGCTAGCGGCCTAAATGCATTTCGAGCCTGTGCGACTCTATTCCTGATTTCTTCTTTGGCCTGTCCGTTGGTTAGCATATTCGAGTCTAAATAACGGAAACAACTTACTCCTTCGATGGGTTGACCACTGCTAAACAGTGATTGCATTGGGCCAAGATAAGTAGTCAGGAACTTCTCCTTGCGTGTATTAATCTTAAGACCAACAGTTGCAGCGAAGCTATTGATTTGATCTAGCGCTGACTGTAGTGACTGAGGTGCATTACCATGTACGACAATGCCATCGGCATACTCCAGGTCAAGTACTTTGAGTTCAGGGCTCATTTAACGTACATTATCAGGTAGAATTGATTTGTGCACTAACCAGTCGATGAAGAAGTTGAAGAAAACCGGGGAAAGGCATCATTGTCGAACCCCAGGATTCAGTGAGATAGAATCTGACGCTTCACCAAGGGCTCTTACTTGAGCTGATGTTGTGCTATAGTGGGCTTTGATTAGATTGAGCAACGTCATTGGGAGTCCGTCAGCAACCATGATTTGTCATAAGGCCTCTCTGTCGATGAAATCAAAGGCGGTCTTGAAGTCAATGGAACAAGCAGTGGTGATCTGCTGATTCTGGGATCGGTGTTCCATTATGCGGCGCAGAAGGAAGAGCTGGTCAACACATCCCCTACCTTGTCAAAACCCTCCTTGGTCAGAACGAGAATGGAGATTGCGCTCAATCGAAAATCTATTGAAAAGACTGATCCTGTGTTCGTTTGTGGATCATGGTGGAGGAGCACGTAGTCACCATCCTCTTGTGGAACCTTGATTTCCGTCGGTCTAGTCTCTGGAAGACAAACTTCTGACAGACAGACGACGTCTACCCTATAGTATCACAATGCGCATGCTAAAGATGTTTGACTTCCGGCGTCAAACGATGTCCGCACATTCCAGCAA